TATATATATACACGCTCCAGCTACTCATATGCCCATATCAACACACCTGTTTACATGACAAAATATTTCCTGAATGCAACGAACTTTCATTCACTAAGAATGTCATTGGGTGTCTTACTCTCCTTAGGAGAATAAATGTTAATTAGGAAACAAGTTGTAACAGATCATGACTCTGAGTTTTAAAATGTCACAAACAGCTAGAGATAATATTACAAAAATACATATGAAAAAGTAATTGATGCAGAAAGCCATCGGTAGTACACATAGATACATGCTTCGGATGTTCAATATCCCAAGCTTTTAAAAAATAAAAACTTAATCAAGTGCACGTTTTCTGAATTGGAAATTCCAATATTATTTAATTCGAAACATTGTTAAAATTTACAAATTAAGTAAAACATTTCTCAGTGTAAAATTCCTTTTTACTTAATTTAAAGATCTGGATTTGATCAGATTGCATTTCTATAAACTTTGCTACTGTAAAATCAAAACAATTCGTGGGACATTAAATTTCGTTTATTTCGTGGATAACAAAATTCACGAAATTAAATCCCCACGAATACATGAATTTTGTATGATATAGATAAGGGAAAATCAGAAATCAGCGAAATATAATGTCCTTGAATCAGGCTAGTATATGAAAACCACGAAATCTTACCCCCACAAAAATAAATGATTCTACAGTATTTGGATTAAAACATTTAATTAACATTTCTTTAAGTTGAAATTTTATTTTAATAATATCAAAATGTATTCTTATTTGAGCATTAAAAGTGTTTTTCATTTAACATAGTTAATTTGAATGTATAAATTCTAGACCGACATTCGTTTCACATTAGATACATCTAGTGTAGCAAGTCTTATTCCATACATCATATGCTGTACGGATTCTTTTTTGTTAAGCCCTGATGGTTTTAAAATTGTAACAGCTAGATATACTATTACAGAAGTACCTATGACAAAGTAATTGATGCAGAAAGCCAAACAATGTACTCATTGACTGCCTCATATGCTCATTTCGTCCATTAAAGACATATGAGTGATTGAGGTATAATCAACTGTGTGAACACATTGAATTAGAATGCTGATGTAAGAACATGATATCATGCTGCTTACTTGGTCGGAATGAATGAGTTTACATCAATTGCATTGATTGGTATATTGTATAAAAACGTTTCACGGACACTGGTTTAGTTGTACCATCATAATGGATATGTCATATAAGTATAATTTCCTATCTCCCAAGTATAGATATAATGTCAACGTTCCATTATCGAATATATTGACAGCTGTTCCATATGTATACTGCTTACCCGATACACATATTAATCAACCAGTAAGTATTTACGTAATACAAACAAGTAATTGATGGCATTCTATGTAACAGATGCACCATGGCCACTGTGAAGGATACCGCTAACCACGTGAATAACTTCTCGGACTATATACGGACTTCCTTCTCAGAGTTTCTGAAACTGCAGCCAACGCTTCATAGGGACGATGTTGATCGTGTACTCCACGAACCCGCCATCGTGAAGTACTACAGACCAACCAATCAGCCATGGCGGTACTACCTGATCAGTCTCTTCCAGATTCACAACGAGACCGGCAATGTATGGACTCATCTGATTGGCTTTATTATTATGTGGTGTATTTTAGGAGTACTATCTGCTGAGTATGACGTGTGGACGGAACGCCATTCGTGGCCTATGTTGGTATTTGGATTGTGTTGTGTAATATCTACAATGACTAGCACATGCGTACACCTGCTTCACTCCCGATCTGTATATCATCACTACAGTCTGTTTATGATTGACTATATTGGGGCCACTTTATATTCATTTGGCTCCGGCATACAGGCGTTTTACGCATGCTCTGACAAAGAAATGTACGAGTACCTCGGAAGGATGTACCTACCGACACTGACATTTGTGACATGGCTCAATTTTGTTGTGCTATGTCTTTCGAAACTGATGTTCGGTCATAACCCATGTGACGTCAGAAGGAAGCTCATGATGATCTCCATGATGACAGTTCAGGCCACCATCGTCACACTTCCGTTTGGACCTCGTTATTACCGGTGCTACTTCAGCGACACGTGCTCTTTCTCTTCTCTCAATCACTTAACAATTAGCTGGATATTTTTCGTCTCCTCCGCTTTTTTCTTTGGAAGCCATTTACCCGAAAAACTGTTTCCGGGTAAATGTGATATCTTTGGTCAAGGTCACCAGATTTTCCACGTGATCAGTGTTGTCAATCAAATGTGGCAATTCCATTCCATGCGTCTAGACCTATCGACTGGAGCTTCAGATCACACAGAACCTGATTTTTTGGTCATCATGGCGGCATTATCGGTTCTTGTTCTTGTGGACACCATATGTTATGTGTTTCTTAAAAGGCGAATTCCTTCAGTTGCCAAGGAAGAAAAACAATCCTAATTAAATAGTAGCTTTTTGGTGCTATTTTTTGTTGTGTCGACAATATTTTAAGTAAAACATATACTGCATCAAAAAAGAAACACTCAGATAAATAGTTACGTGTATTTATCCACAGACCAAATTGAAAATGGTTTTCAAAAGACAATAAGCATTTCGTCAAAATCTTCTGTAGTGCTTAAGTAACTCTCTAATATACAAGAGAAGACACGAAAGAAAGAAAACAGTTTAAAATACCCGAAGTGTCCCCACAGGCTCTAATGTCTGCTCGTTAAAATTGTACATGAAGCTATTCAGAACATGACTTTTTATTATAATGTTTAAGAAAAGATGAAGCGGTACTATAGGCTGGCGGGGGTAGTCTTAAATTTCGAGGGACCCTCGCTGCAAATTGCATTGCATTGGTTTCAGAAACAGCAGAATGTTGGAGGGTAAAGTTTGGTTGCGACAGCACGCCGCCATAAGCTTGCGATTGAAGGCTATCATAGGGATCTTAACACAATTTGATATAATTCACGTGATTGATCCAGCCCAAAATCAGTTTAACTTAACACATCCGTCAATGAAAAACTAACTTTCGGGCCCTCAATTAGCTTCGACTTCCTCGACTTCAGAACAGCAATAGTTCCTACTGTTTCTATTGCCGTCAAAAGAAAACCCTGATGCACAAGTCGTATAATGTTTTAATGAAGTGACACGGTCACTCATTGTCGACCAATTGCGCAAACAATGATAGCAGTGGCCAATGATCGCATAACAAAATATTGCCAAAAATGTCTTGCAAAATCATTGGAATTGTCTGTCTCCTTTGATGTTTTATAAGCTCTTGTATTATATTTGTTTGATAAAAGCGTATGAAACGTTGTGTTCGCCGTTAGCATTACCGAGTGTGTGAGAAATTACTCTCGGATATCGCTGATAATGCTTGTAAAACACTACCCCTGTAGAGTCAATATTTATATTAGTGTATTAAGCAAGGTACTCCGGTGTTTTAGTTTTATGTTTCCCTTTTGGATCAGTATATCTTGATATATATAAACATTGGTGCGATTATGTAAACACTGTTCTTTGTAAAAATATACCTTTAATTAATTAATTTATTTTTTCAAACATATATGGAAAATGTATTTTTTTTGATTGTTGACCATCATACTGACTTCCGTAAAGAAGTGCTTTTTATATATACAGACATATAGACTATAAATGGAGGACTGCCACATAAAATATCCTTTTCAGGATGATATACAATTACTATGTTAAGATTAGGATGTGTATACGTTTATATTTGCACAAGTCATGGCTGCACTGAGTAAGATATACAAGGTAGTTAATAATAGATTTACTCAGTACGACAAAATACATCAAAATGTATTTCATATACGACTTTTGTAAACTGATTTCTCTTTTAAATGTGTTTTATTGATGACTTGATGACTGCATACGATAAAAGAGTAAAATTGGAGACAAGTTTGACAGACACATTTGTGTAGTGCAATAACAACATGAAGCAAATTGTAATTAACCAGTGGAAATATTCTGTTAGGTTTGATATGTATCAAAATTCCGGAGTTAAGATACTGTTTTCACCTGTTTTGTTAGCCGTTAGCTAATCGTGTTTTATTTCGTTATTTGTTTTTGTTACATAATCATTATATGATTGTGATTAAAAGGTTTAATCAATGATGCTCTTGATGTATAAATTGTGTATCCTTATAATAATCTACACTGCTTTGTGCTGACGTCTTCTTGTTAACACACAATAGCACAAACGAAAGGAGAACGTCTGTTTACACTAGGTGTGGTGTAAAGTTTACACAACTTTTATCTGGTTTACGTTATTGCCGTCAATGCACGGATAGACCATTGGATACTCGATGTAAATCTGTCACGTCGATCATAGTTACTGGTTCATTCCTATTTTGAATAAAATGTTTTACGACAATATCAAACCTTTTCCGAAAATAAAGCGCAAAACTAAAGCGAGTAAAATGTCATTTATGGTATCTATAATAAATTGGCATTTTAGTGCAGAAGCAAATGATATCAAGTGCTCAAGTTTATGGATGTTCACAATATCACGGAACATTTTGATGTTACGTTGCAACACGTAACACTTTGAATAGGTATCAACATGGAAATGCATTTTATTGTTAGCTGAGCTTATGCCATACCGTGGCGTCCGTCGTCCGTCCGTCGTCCGTCGTCTGTACGTTAACATTTTCTTCAAATGATTACTCCTTCTTAACCACTGATTAGAATGTAACGAAATTTTACTTGAAGCATCCCTTGGTGACGGGGATTCAAAATTGAACAAATGGTGGGGGCTAACACCCCAGAGGGCCGAAGTGCAGGGCAAAAGGGGGGACAATTTGGCTATTTTGCTATAAACGACTTCTTCTCTTGAACTATTACTGGATATCAATAATTTATTGGAGATGTGGATGAAATATTGTACAAATGGATGGGCTGACCCCCCAGAGGGCTGAGGGGCGGGGCCAAAAAGGGTAATTCGGCTATTTTGCTTTACGTGACTTCTTCCCTGGAACAAAGCGACGCATATCAACTATTTTTTATTGGAAGCATCCCTGGGTGGTGGGGATTAACAATTGTAAAAATGGACAGGCTGACTCCCCGGGCTAAAGGATGGGGCCAACAATAGTTTATAACTTGGAAATGGTTGAGATCTCCACCCTATAACCATATATACAAGTGCTGAGTATAAAGAAATGAATGCATATATGCTTCCAGGATGGCACTGGGGTCTGGCCCCCACCCTTGGGTCATAACTTTGAAACGGTTGGGATTCCCACCCCAACAATAAATGTACAATTGCTGAGCATAAAGAGACAGGCACGATCATGATATTAGCATTGACCCTTGGGTCTGGCCACACCCCTGGGGACCTAGATTCTGAGTCAGTACTTGGAAGCAGTTGAGATCTCCACCCTAAAACCATGTATACAATTTCTGAGTATAAAGAGACAAATGCTTCCAGGATAGTCCCGGGGTCTGCCCCACCCTTGGAGACTTAACCCCTGGGTCATAGGTTCAAAACGGTTGAGATCCCAGCCCCAATACTATATATAAAATTGGTGGGCATAAAGAAATGAATGCAGTCATGATATTATAATTGACCATGGGGTCTGCTCCACCCTTGCAGACTTAATTTTGAAACGATTGATATCCCCAACCCACAGCTATATATACAATTGCTGGGTATATAGAGACGAATGCAGCCATAATATAAAAAATGACCCAGGGGTCTTGTCACACCCATAGGAACCTTGTTTCCTAGTCAAAACTTGGAAACAATTGAGATTCCAACCCCATAACCATACATAAAATTGATGTGCATGGAAAATCTTATACAGATATGCTACAAGGATTGACCTTGGGGTCTGGCCCCTTCCCCGAGTTCTTTTTTGGAGGATATTTTGCCATTATCGTTTGGATACCGAGGTGAGCGATACAAGCCCTCTGGACCTCTTGTTATTTACAGACAACCATATTTAACGAGCCAACGATTGAAATCACATGACACTAACAGGCAGGGTATTCTTATAAAGATTCTCACATTTGGTGGTCACATGGAGGTTCCCCAGGGAGTGAGGTTGGTTAACATGTTTGTCTTACTCGAGTCAATTTATTAGTGTATTGTGAATGTTTTTGAAGACAAGTTTTGTTTTACAATTTGAAAATAAACAAATGAGAATTAGATGAGCCAACCAGTTTTGGGGACCTTTCTTTCGCATAAGGTTTGTTGTATATATATAAAACGGTATGTTTCTCTTTTAATGCATGGTTCCTATGGATAACGACGTCACAATGATAGATGATGGCACAGAACGACACGGAACATTGTTACCAAATGAACTGGAAAAAAACCTAGAGCAATGGTTGTCGGAGAATTGACTGTTTGTCACTGTCAGCGACCCCGGTGTCTGGCAGCCACCGGTGAAAGTATCGACTACCTGCGTACAAGAAAGAACTATTAGAGAGATACCCTCGAAAAGTTATTGACAAGACTTTTACTATTGTCACCATGACTTCTTTATTTTCTATTCGTTTGCAGATTAAGTGAGTACAATAATGAGAAACACTTGAGTTGTTCATCATGTTTTAGATAGTTCTTGACCTGCACAATTTCCCAAATTTGACGAGTGGCGTTAAAACTGGTGAAACAGGAAAATATTACTCTAAAAGCACCTCTATGTTTTGATGTTGCCACAGTTCCTGTTGTTTAAAGCTAATATGATTTTTTATATTTACACTTTACTTTTTACCATGTCATATGATATAAGCGAGTTACCAGAAAATTGGTTTGAGCATAGAATCAGATCAGTTTTATGAATACAGTTCAAGGTCTGTTCCCCCGAGGTGAAACTGAGGGTGATATGCCTATTCAATGTGAACCAGAAACTAGCTATATCCAAGGAAACCCACGCAGAAAACCCATCTACTCTTGAAAGAATTTATGTGGCCATGGCCCACGATCGATAAGAGAGAGAGAGAGAGAGAGAGAGAGAGAGAGAGAGAGAGAGGGAGAGAGAGAGAGAGAGAGAGAGAGAGAGAGAGAGATAGAGAGAGAGAGAGAGAGAGAGAGAGAGAGAGAGAGAGAGAGTCTTTAATCGTTACTTAGTGATACTGCACTGTAGTTGCTACATACGATCGCATACTATAAGATTAGGGAACCCAACATAGGTAAAATATATGCAATAAATGGGACTTATGTGACAGCACTGTTAATTTGTGAAATGTTTGGTTTAAGAAGTAAAATGTTGGATACAGCGGAAAATGCTTTCGTTATCGTCAATATATGAATTTGGATCTCATTATAGAAGCATGTCAAGAGTATAATTTCAGGTAAATTTACAAAGCATTAATTTCTTATATTTGTATAATAATGACAAGACAGAAGAAACTATTCAGTAGTTTCGATTGCCTGTCTACAGGAGCAATAAGGACTATCGACAAGATTACGACTAAACAAGTTGGTATTTAAGGAGCTGCAGTTCATCTCCTCAGTCTAGCGTGATGAACCTGAGGCGACTTCCATAATTATAATAAGGCGCGGGGGGGGGGGGGGGGGGGGTGGTAATTTTAATATCTTGGGGTAGTGAATTCCACAGGTCAATAGAAGGAGGAGGAAAAGATTTCTTGTAGACGTTAGTTTTGCAAAATACATTGCTTAAATTATTAGCAACACGTGTGTTATATCGGTGAGCGTCGATTCTGCGTTGAGGGAGTAGATATGAAAGGTATGGGGCAGTAAGACCAAAAATCATTTTATATATCTTAACTATTTTCTTTACGTTGCGTCGGTATTGTAGACTGTACCAAACAGTTTCCTCATAAAGCTTAGCATGACTTGATAGGTTAGTACCACCCGTTGTAATTCTTGCAGGTTCAAGCTGAATATTCTCTAGAGATTGAGACTATTGGATAGTTAAGGTATCCCAGACGATATCACCACATTCAGGAATAGGTCTGACAAATGAAAACACTAGGTTTGAAGAAAGCTTCTGTCCATTTTAAATGTAAATTGTCTTAGAATGGCTAGATTGATTGTGTGTGCTGTTTAATCTCATAAACAGGAACGTGATTCATAAATAAGGAAGGGTGGTGGGGCTTATTCATTTTCCTACTAGTCAAAAGAGATTCAGTTTGTTCAGGGTTAAATTCAACCAACCATTTATCAGACCATGCACATTAAACTGTCATTCAACAAATCTGCACATTGAGACGGAGTTATCTACTATGGCATAAAGGGAAGTGTCGTCAGCAAATAGTTTTATTATAGCGTTAATATCGTCAACTATGTCATTTATTAAAATCAGAAAGAACAGTGGACCTAATATTGACCCCTGAGGAACACCAGCCCTAATTTCCATCCACTCAAAGGTCTTACTGTTTATAACTACTCGTTGCTTCCTATTATTCACACAACTTTTAAACCATGACTCTGTCGAAGGCCTTATATCACAAAAGATCATTCGAATTTCCTTACCTTTATCTAGCGCCGAGTATATATCATTAGTAATGGCGAGTAATTGATTAGTTGTAGAGTCACCAGCCCTGAATCCAGACAGATTTAGAAGGTGATAATAGAGAATTTCTAATGATGAATTTGTACAGATAATTATAACACATATTTCCATCACCTTGCCCACTATATATATTAATGATATAGGTCGATAGTTGTTGAGAAAAGAAGGGTTATTCTTTTTGAACACTGGGGCAACATTAGCAAATGTCCAGCTACTAGGAAAAACGAAGCGGTTAAAGAATTATTAAAGATTATTTGAAGAGGGTAACTCAACTTTACTGCTGCTTCTTTCAGGAGTCTTGGATTTATAAGGTCAGGTCCAACTGCCTTAGATCAATCTAGATTAGATAAAACTGAGATAATGTCATTCCTATCGATATGTATATGACGAGTAAGCAGGGTCTCGTTGTTGGTAGTAGGTGGGAGTTCCGCATTAGTATCATCGACGGTGGAGTTGAGACAAAATAGTTCATTAAACGCATTTGATTTATCAGTATCATCGGTAATAATAGAAGTATGAGTATGAATGGGTGGTATATTTCACGTTTTACTAGTGTTAAACATTAGTTTACCTAACGTTGTCCACCAAGACTTCCCACGTGTATTGTTCTCCAGTATTCCAAGAGCTTTACGAATATATTTAGATTTTTCATTACGTAATATACTTACATATTTGTTCCTTACTCCTTTCTACTTACCCCAATCCTCTATAGTTCCTGATCTCTTAGCTAATCTAAATTATATTTTCCTTTTTCGAGCTAGTTTACGAATTTCACTTGTCATCCATATTGCTACTACTTTGTTTGGAATAATTCCTTGTCGGTGTTAATGAGTACATCAGCAAAACCATCGACAGAGGCCTCTAGATCATCATCCCTGTCAACAATAGAAAGTTTCTCTCTATGCATGTCATAATTACCTTGGTCATACAACCAAATGTTACGTTTAAGTGACGACTTCTCTGGTACAGTTATACTTAGACTTCAGAAAACAGGGCAATGATACCTCAGAGGCTGGTCTAGAAAACGATTACTAACACAAATTACATTACGCAAAGACGAGGAATTTCAGTATAAAATTTAGGAGACAATATCATTTGGGATAAATTAAATATCTGAAGCAGTGCATGTAAATGTGAAATGGATTGGTTATTAGTTAAACAATAAGCGTTCAAGTTGATTTAGCAAGGATAAAGTGACAGAGTAAAAGTACATTGACGCTATATCACACCACAGTGAGGGACACTGCATAGTTAAGTGTTTGATAAGTAAATTTGCCTGTTCATCCCAGTGGGGATCACTGCGTATTTAAGCATTCTATTAGTACGAATTTTGTAAATCCTCCAAAACATTGCAGTGGAGACTAGATATTTCACACATTGGTAGCTAAATACCATATAAATTATCGTTATTTAGGAAAGGAACGTTTAGATAATATGTCCTAAATGTGTTTAGTTTTTTCAAAAAACGTACAGCATAGGAATTGCAGTTACGCACTTTAATACCATTCAGAACATTCTAAAACAGCACAGCGGCCTACAGCTACTTATAATTTTTATATGACCATTGTCATATCCTACTCCTTATCAGCCCATCGAACTCCGGTCCCTCGGGCTGATATGGGAGTCTCGGGCGGATACGGAATTGGGTATGAAAATAGCCATATGATAGCGTTTTTATCATATACTGCTTAATAACATCAAAATTATTAGCAATATTAAAAAACACACCAGAAGTTTAACTTTAATATCATTCTACCTAAATAAAACACTATGAAAAGAATATCAAATACAGATGGATATGTTGTACACTACCAGTTTAAGGGGTGATTTTCTGAAAATGTTGAACCGGAAGCTAAACAAATATAGCGCGTGCCGGGCAGATTATTGGCGCATGCAGGAAGGATATAAGCTGGTCAGGGATAAGGCCGATGCACAGCTAGCAGCATCACACATGCATACCAACTCACATCACGGACAAGTATAGGATAAATATGAATACACAGAGGAAGCAGCATATGCTACTTCCGTTACATCTCATTTGTTTCTAACGTAAGCCGACAACTCTCATAACCTGTCAGGAAACCATTCGAGTGTACTGCTCAGTATAGCATGACTAATCCCAGCTTGTTAACTTATTTACTATATATCAGCAAACAATTACATTGGATACCCGTCAGTATGACCACAACAGTTAATTTAAGAGGGGAAAAGTGATGTCGCACTAGGCGTCGTTCATGTCTTCGCAGGTAAGAAATAGCAAAATTGAACGATAACTTTGTAATTGTATATATGTACTAATATTTATGACTGAACTATCCGGCCTGAAGATCTATAAGGAACTTAGTGTCTAAACTTTTTCTTGATAACAATAACGGCTCCAACTTTATGGATAGCTCAGCTATAGGTCGACACGATGGAGGCACGGTAGTCAAGTGGTAGGACACCGGGCTCGTGACTGGAGGGAGGCACGGTAGTCTAGTGGCAGGACGCCGGCTCGTGACCGAAGGGTGGCGGGTTCGCGTCACGTCATCGCACTGTTACTACTCATAGTTTGCTAATGTTCACTTTTATGTTTGAGTATATGTGAAAATAAATATTTTATTTGGTTTATACTGGGATCATTTTTGAAAACAATGATTATTCTTTTAATTCATCAGCATACAAAAATTCCAAAAATTGTAATTACAGTCGGAAAATGAGCCACAGAAAAAGGGTTACCCTTAAAATTGGAAACCACGAGGTTTTCACTAAAAAGCTTAAATTGAACAAAACTCATCCGAAATAAACAGAAACTGTTTAAGTATCGAGTGTGACGCCCATGAGCATCAATTACAGCTTCACAACGTCTGCGAATGCCCCGAATGAGATCGCGTATCCGGTTTTGTGGGATAGCGTTCCAATCAGCTACCAAAGCTGTTCCCAGCTCCTGGAGCGTTCTTGGCTGAACATTTCTGGCAGAGAGAGAGCTGTCTGTAGTATGTCCCAGACATGCTCGATAGGATTTAGATCGGGCGAGTGGGCTGGACAATCCATTCGTTGAATAGTCTCTTGCTGTAGATACTGCTCAGTCTATGTGGCCTAGCATTATCGTTCATAAGGATGAAGTCAGGGTCTGACATAGGCATCAAGGATTTCATCGCAGTAAATCCGGGCCGTAATAGTACCATTATGGAAGACATGCATGTCTGGAAGGGTTTCCGTTAGTTTGGAAACGATTCCACATTCTTGCCATCACACTTTGAGACACCCAAAGGTAATTGCAACCTGACGTTGAAACATGCTAGCTTGCAGCATTCCGATGCCCCTATTCATTTCACCGTCATTTCACCGTTGTCTGGTTCGTTTTTGTGCCGTATTAAAAAAAAACACGCAAAGAATATTCATCAAATTGATTTCTTCAAGTTCAAGTTTGAGTTCAATTTGAACAACGCCTTACGTAGCCTAGTTTAGCTTTCGATAGGGGTGAACACGTGGAAAAGCGTACACACGCTTTTATGGTTGATTGAACACACCCACACAGGACGATTTGGAAGGCTAACATATTCGCCCAAACAGTACAGAAGGAAAATATCCTTTTAACATTTTTATTTTCAAAATATAGGTAATACGTAGCAAAATGTGAGTAGTATATTTTCGAACAAGATCTTTTACTACGCTTGTTCCAGTCTACTCAGCTGTAAATGAGTACGTGGTTGGGCAGTGCTAGAATTGTTGAATGCTGGCTGTGATTGCCTGAATTGCAGTATATAGTTATAGAATGGGTATGAGGGAAATAGCACATTTATGGTCCCCCGAGGTGAAAAACTATTTCCCGAGACGGCGAAACCGTCGAGGGGAAAAGTTTTTCACCAAGGGTGACCATACATTTGCTATTTCCCGAATTACCCGTTCTATAACGAACAAATTATTAATGGCAATTTAACAAATACATTTATTTATTCATTTCATTTTGCAATTTCAAAGACTGAAAGAGAAAAAATTACAATTGGAAGTACTGTATGCATCGTACTTGATGACATTTTCATTTCTAACATTCAAGAAGTGTTTTTATAGACTGTATCTCATAGTCACCATTGTTTTCCTACCATATCTAGATCTTGTCCTATCCACATTTTTTAAGTTCTGCATAAAACTTGCGTGTCCTTACCGCTTCCGGCATTCCGTTTTGTTAATTAAGTTTGAACAGAATTCACCACAGTCTTTATAACAGCTTTTGTATTTAAGGTACGTTTAGCGTGCTAAATCTTCTGTAACTCATCTCTCTTTACAACAACCGAACGGCCTTCATCGGTGGCCATTTTCACTGGTGTCATTTGGTTCACGAGCGTCACGGAGAAGGTCCCGCCTACCAATGTTTTCATTGGTTGAAATCTTATAAGCTCCACCTACAAATATTCATTGAATTAGTCCTCTTTCTGGCAGAGAGTAGTCCTTTTTTGCAGGGAGTAGTCCTCATTTGGGGAGGGAATAGCTCTCAGATGGAGATTTAAGGGAAATAGAAGGTTTTATCGTATTGTTTTTATATAGGGAAAACTCAGTAGAGGTATAATATTACCGGCTGTATACTCCCCAGGGAGTTGAGAAAGATAGTGGCTAGTTGCAAAGGCCATATATAAGCACGGATGATAATTTGATAACCGCTTTGAGACGACCTACAATCTAGGTTGTGATAAAGTGGTATATAAGAATTTCGAATAATTATTATTATAAATTTTATTATATATTGTTCTGTTCTTATTCCTAGACAGACTCTCTACAGCTAGCCATGCACTGACTCAGTCTTTGTAACAGTTGTTTATCAGAGGCCCTTATCAGTCCTCGGCATGTATACTTTCTATCATTTTGTATCTTATCCTTATTATGTATCAATCAGAATCATCAACGCTGTGGAGGTAAAAAGCTGAATTTCCTTAATTGAACAATTAATGTTTTCGATAATACCTATATTTTATAAATATGTTACCGTAAGATCATCGGCCTATCGCATAATAAGGAGCTTATTTTGTCTGACATCGTGCCTTGCTTCCTTTCACAGTTGAAAATGGCAGTGTGCACCATTGCTGACGAAGACTTTTTTTTCTGATTCTTTCTGTTTAAATTCCGTCTTAATATATGTATTTGTAATCACGAAAATGTCCAATATTTGACACACATGGGCTTTAACAGGTAAATAAAGAAGACAGAGAAAAGGATTTGTTTTCTTAATTTGTTTGATTTTGTTTCTTGTTGATTTTTGAATTTAGGACAGATACTTGTACTGTAACGTAGTAATGACAGGTACACTATTATGTTAATGATTACCCATTTGATTGTTGATAATACTACATATCATTAGTATTGAGAGCAACATCAGTTGGTACGGATAAAGGAATGCTTATCATTTGAATTGATAAATTGACATGTCGAAATGTATCTCTCTCACATGTACAGTCAATATAGATAAAATGTAAAATGCTCCATGCACATTGTCATAATTGTAACGTGACAGTGACAAGATCAAAACTCGATTTAAAGTTGTTAATTTTCATAAGCAAACTTACATATATTAATTTAATATTACTTATATTCCGTATCATCCATTATTGCGAATTGTAATCAAAAGTAGTGACGCGAACAAAGGCAAAAAGTATTCATGTGCGATACGTCACAGCAGGAGTGACGTTTTGAGCATATTTCAGTTCCCTGCTTTGCTGTATTGGTGCGTTTGTAGTGTCATTGTGTGAGAGGATAGGCCTATGTTTGACATTTGTTTTTGCGAAAAAAGGTCAAATTTCATTTCAACTAAATGTATTTGTTGTCGGCGGTGCAATATGTTTTCTATAAATTCGCTATTCCGCAAACCAATATATGTACTACTACTACTCGTACACTGAAAGTGACGATTTCCCGCGATCTGCTAATGAACCATATTATATATAATTATAGATGCATCATGACGACTGAGAAGAAAATCACTGACCATGTGAACGATTTCTCGGATTACGTGCGCTCTTTCTTCTCCGAGTTTCTGAAACTGCAGCCAACACTTCACAGAGACGACGTTCATAGCGTTTTTCACGAACCCGCCATCGTGAAGTACTACAGACCGACAAATCAACCATGGCGGTACTACCTGATCAGCCTCTTTAAGATTCACAACGAGACCGGCAATGTATGGACTCATCTGATTGGATTTATCGTCATGTGGGTTGCTATTGGAAACTTGTTCATTAGCTATGACGTGTGGACGGAGCGTCATTCGTGGCCTATGCTAGTATTTGGATTGTGCTGTATGGTGACAACAATGACTAGCACATGCGTACATCTGCTCCACTCTAAGTCTATATATCACCACTACAGTTTGTTTTTGATAGACTATATTGGGGTCACAGTATACGGATTTGGTACAGGTATACAAACATTTTACGCATGCTCAGATATATACACGTACGAGTACATGAAATCAGTGTACCTGCCGATACTGACATTGGTTACCTGGATAAACTTCATAGTGCTTTGTCTCGCAAACGTTCGATTAGGCAATAACGATTGTGACATCAAGCGGAAGCTGGTGATGATTGCAATGCAGCTAGTACAGGGCATAGTCGTTACACTTCCCATTGCAGCTCGTTACATCCGGTGCTATTTCAACGACACATGTCTTGTTTCCTCTCTTTATCATTTATCGACTATTTACATTTTCCTCTTCATAAGTGCTTTCTTCTTTGGAAGTAATTTTCCGGAAAAACTCTTCCCGGGTAAGTGTGATATCCTGGGTCAAGGTCACCAAATTTTCCACGTGATCAGTGTCGCCAATCAAATGTGGCAACTTCATTCTATGCGACTCGACCATTTCTATGGAGCTGCGGATCACACAGATCCCGACATTGTTGTCATGTTGGCGGCATTACTTGTGCTTTTGCTGACAGACATCATGTCTTACGCGTTTCTCAAGAAACTTATCCCTACTTCTCTTAAAGATAAAAAACAGTCCTGATGTGAAGGAAGCAATGAATGTGTATCCTTTACGATAACAATGTAGTATACAACACTCTTCGACGCAATGTTTGAATTTGAATTACGGCACAATATTTGTGCTTTGAGCATACTTGAAAACTTTGTTGCTGTTTTTTTTCCATTAATTATTCATGAAAAAAGTGTTTCATTGTCAATGATTAGAAATAAATAAGATTAATTTTGGAGTTATAAGGATTTGTATGGCCTAAACAGTAGTATGAACGCAGTTTACAACGAACATATTCAATGAAGCGCCATACTATTATGTGCATTGTCAACTGCGTTCATACCAGTGTACATACGCTATTGAAATGAAAATCAGTTTTTACATTTACATCCAACAAATGGTTGATATGCTGTACGAAGGAAAAACTGTTGGAGAGGGTTGCTACGACCCCCGTACCACTGCCAACACACTATACAGGTATTGATATCGGTAAGGTTTTCAGGACCATCGTAACGTAATCAGTGGTGACCGTTTGTGTTTGATAAATAGATGAGATAGTATACACTATGGTGTATTCAGCTGGATTCAATTGAGGATTCACACAATCATCCTCATACTTGATAAATAAAGCACAAAGGCCAATGCATATAAAGGAAATAGTGGCATATAAACACGCAGATCCAATCATATACATTTAATAGAAATACACACGTATCTGAGTAAAACAAAAAAACATTCCTGATTTTTTATCAAGATCGTCAAGTTTTTGAAAGTCTGTAAATTACATTTAGGTAGAAATTTTGTTTCATTTGTATGTATTAATCAGTATTCTTTGTGGCACATGAGTGTAATTATGCACGGCTAAATAGTTCCATTGATTATTCATGAACATCGATCATGAAAAAAAGAACAATCAAGTAAACAGAAAGTAGACAATTTGTACCTGCTTAGTAAATATGAATTTAAAACATGGCAGAATATTTGATCGGATAAACAAACCCGTAAAATAAACGGTACACATTTAAAACGACCAGAAATTATAATTATTTTGTTCACATTGTAATAAAAACTAAATATGCATGATGGAAATCACTCCCTGTCATCTTGAATTTTCAACTACACTATCATAACTAAATTTTCAATACCAAGCACAAAATTAGCGACTCTAGGTCAACGATCGGTCATTCATTTTCTCAGTAGGTTACTAAACCTTTAATCGCTATCTGTGCCTAATTTATCGCTTTGTTGCTGTTTAAAATTATGTGTTTCTGATTAGCTGTGTGCTATCGACCAATGTATTACGTAGAAAGTGTTTTATCACTTACTAACAATTTGACTGCCAGACTTACTTAGATTTTGCAATGTGCGATGTGGTGTCCATAATGGTTCTATAATGGTGTATTTGCGACATTTTGCTATTTCGTTTTTATTTCTGCGTCGTGATTATAAATCAAAATGTCACTGTTTAGTCCACGGAAAATATTGACATAATATGTCGCTAAATTGTCGTTCTCGTCGAACTTTTCATTACGTTATTCAAACAGCTATCTTAGAATATTTTTGATTTGTTTTTGTTTTTTGTTTTTTCTTCAAACAACCTGCAATAGATTTGAAAGACGCAGTCATTACGAGTGCGTTATGGGGTGTAGTGATTTTTTTATTTTGGTGTGTCCGTTGTTAGTGTTTCTGGCGGTGGCGGGGTCGCTTCAAGGATATCATTTAAATTTCTGTGTTTATTTTTAACACAACTTTCGATTAGATTTGGTTTGCTCTTAGTGGGGGACAGAGTTCATTTCATAGTATGCAATTATTTTCATGATCATTATAGCAATTAGTGTAAGGGAAGACGGACAGTGTCTCATAAGTCTCACAGTGGACTGGATGTGAGGGCCATGAGGATGACTTATTTTCTATGTAATTGTATAAGTGTACCCTGTACATGTGACACGTTAATAAACTATTTGAATTTAATTGAATTAAATGTTAATTTATTTATAAAGATGTTCATTAAGAATGTCATCTGTTAAAAAAGTTTGAATTGCTGGCTATAAAAAGAAATAAAATATTTTTATGACTAAAATGACAAAAATGTTATAGGTATAAATGCCTGTTATTACTGTACAATGTACCATATCTATATTTATAAAAAATATGAAACCCGCTTATTTCATGTATGATGGCTATACAACAGCGGCTCACACGTGTAAGTGATTCAACGCAATATCAATAAACTCTTTGTGTATTACAACAAACGTCAAGGATTGCTTGCAAAGTAAGATTTATTTAAGAAAAAACACAGAAGGTTTGAACAATTGTGTGAAATGACAAGAAAATGAGTATAAATGACAGTAAAGATATTCTGATGGTAAAACAAAACAAGATATACGTATTGTTCTTGCTTAAAAGGCCATCAAATACAGACTTAACGAACATATGATCGGCTCATAAGTGTGTGTAAATTGGATAAGGTACTGTTGAACCACAGACACGTATTTTTGTGGGCATTTGAACATTAAATATAAGCAAGATTATGTGTTGAACGCAACACAGGTGCCCGTTGTTGGTGAATTGACTTAAATTGAACACAGAATTGCAGGATGGTGATTTGAGACACAGGTACACGTTGTTGGTGAGTTGAACCTGACACAGGGGTACGTTTAAGACAGGTTGAGCCTTGCACAGGTACACGTTGTTGGCAATGTAGCAAAACTGTCAATTCAATCAATACCACCATATTAGTCTTTTGCATACAAAGAGTAAATTGGTATTTTCGAAAATGAACTTTTTATGTTTACCAAATTGAATTGTTCTATTTTTCTGAAACGAGAACATGCAGTTCTGTTGGTGGTGTTGTCTCCGTCTTACCTTTGACGATTACGATATTAGTAGTGAAGGTGGTGCTGTTGCTGTTTCCGTCGTTAGTATAACGGATTGTGTTTTCTGATGATGGTGTGGCCGATTCGATGTTGACAGTATCGCAATTGTTCGTAATGATAGCGCTGAGGTTTCATGTTCTCTTCCGGTACATTTCTGTCTAATCACAATGGTGGCGATGGTGCTTTGGTTTCAGTTCCAAGGTGTAGGCTAAATGTGCATACTCTTCTGGACAGCAATCGTAGACCAAACTATGTCGGACCACAGTTGAGTTAGATATTTCCCAGCGCTCGTTTTCTGTGTAATCAGACAGGTCCACTACCCCGCCGGTATTTGCTAAGCCCACCTTATTCCCAGAGTACGTCCAGGACCCGAACTTGGCCGTGCAAGTGTATATCTCCTCAGCTCCCGACGACACGCCACAATATAACACAACTCTTATGGGAGGCACAACCGTAACTAAACCCTTGTGATTGACAATGGCACGCAAGTTATTTATCATCAATTCCTCATTTTTGCTGAAACAAAGATAATTATTATGTATATGTAGTTGATGTAGATGTTACACAAAAATGTTGACTTAAGGATCCGTATTATTTCGTGCTAATTCCTACAACGTTTTATCAAATTATCAGATTATTCATCCATATTTTATGGTTTACACTTTATAAATAACTTTTTTTTTTCTTTCATGAGAATGAATGAAAACAAATGTTTGAATTCAAAATGTAAATCTAGTTCCACATAGACTGACGTTCTGAAACGTGACGTTAAGTCGATGCGACACGTGACGCCATTTGATTAACATGTCAAAATATGGATTTCCTCTATCGACTTATGATAATCTATAATTATCTAACGAACTTGCTGTGAAGCTCTTCCAAATCCTGTTAATCTTAAAAATATTTGTCCTGTTTACCATACTTTACTGATTTTTTTTCTAAATAAATCATCTCATACGGTATCTAGAAACCCTACTATATTTATTGTTGCATTCGCGATGTCATTGTCTACTAAATTCCTTTTATCCCCGCTTAACGTGTCCTGTTTTTTTTGTCTATGTCATCGATATTTTTATTATGAATCATACTACAGGCTAACAACGACATACAGTAATTTCACGAGTACAAGTCAATTTGACGCAGGTAATGTTCCACACACATGTATATAGTACTCTTTTTTAATTTCATCCATAGAATTTTTTATTTGTTTTTATTTATGCATATTTTTGCTTTTGAATTTTCGATTGAAATATTTTTATCTTAATCTCATAGAAAAAAAAATTCAAAGCTTAAATAATCCCTACTTCAATATGACTTGCAATTGTTAATACATGTATAGTGACACGATCCACTTACAAGTTCCAGGAGACGATATCTGGAATCCACAGTTGATCTTGGTACACGTTGGTAGAGGTCACGTTATTGTAGTCTGACGGGTTCCATGTCAGACGTGGATCAGTCCACATCATCGATACCCATGCATCAAGTTCAAGTCTGCCATGTTCCTGTCAACGACGTAAAACAAATCGTACTAACGTATTGTATATTCTACCACGTCCATAAGTAAATATTGGACTATAAACAATGTTCGCACTGTGCGTTCCCCGAAACCTTCCCCGTACGCAGATGTAAACAATCTAACAGTGTATGACTTGAGCCTATTTTCACCGAGGGTACACGCGTGCATGTACATATCTCAAGTTTTACAGAGATCCTTATTACATGTAAAATTGCACAACATGACCATTGGCTGCAGCGCAAAGAAATTATGACGTCAGCTGTGACATCGGCTTCTTGAAATGAAAAAGAGGTATCGCGTGGCAAATGTTTGCAAGTGCAGACTAGCCTAATTTGATTAATTAGACTTTATAGATCACGTTGACTAACAACAACATTCGACTACAGTTTTATGCAGTAGAATAGATATTTTCCTCAAACCAGGCCGTGCAATACGTTTACCCCAAATCAAAGTTAAGCATCGCTGAAAGGAGAACGCGTACCTGAAATTTTATTCTTCTTGTGAACGTTTATTAATTAATCTACATAAAAGACTCAGATATGACTGCAGTTCCTAATGCTCTGACCTTAATTCATTAACATAATCCAGTCGTCGCTGAATGTACACATTCTCATGCTGTAGTAAATGTGGAGCATTACTTGCTGAATGTCCAAGTGTATTTGTAGAACCCAGAAATACCACCGGAGAAAACTTTCACGTGATTTTAATTCAGATGATCTAGTTACTTATTTACTGTTTATGGTTCCTACATTTTTTGTACATCGTAACTTGTTGCGAACAAATATTTCATTTTATGTCAGCTCAAGATTTTTTTAGCATTCAAAACGTTTTATTAATCAATGTTAATATAAGCTAAATGTAGCTTCTTAGCTTTGTGATACAAAGGTAGGTAGAGGATCGCATTTAACCAGCTTTGAATTCATGAGAAAGTCAAGAACTTTTTGTGTGTACGTTTAATTTCTCTAAAGGCTCCTGTAACATCAAGCTATCATAAAGTTGGCAAAGATGTGGGCTAATTTCGAATTTATGAAGACAAGCATAATTAAAAACACTTGACTTGAATTGCGCTTTCATTCACACGTGCAAAACGTACATAATAATAGACACATTATGTAAAACTTACCTCATACCTAATTTTGAAATATTTTATTTTGCTATCCTTTTTGCTTTTCTCCTTAGCGGCAGTTTGTTAAAATATATATACTATTTTCTTTTACGGAAGAAGGCGATTTTTGTTGTTGTGTCCGATCCCACTTTTGTTTCGCAAATATAATGTTTTAATATAGTTTAATAGACGACGGTTATGATATATAACGCGGAATTAGGCACGGGTGTTGGCTTTCTAGTTTGATATTTGTTGCAGCTGTTAAAATTGTAGCAAACTGGTAATAATCTGCAATAGCATACAAGAAATTTGAAACTGTTGAAGAAATGGTTCCCTGGTTACTTTTCAGAAGTAATAAAAGAGAAAATCTCATTTCCGAGAGAAAAGATTAGTCAAAAACATATAACTATTTTGTTACCAGTAAGAAATGCACTAGCATTCACAATTATATAGTAAAAAAAAATGGTAAAATGACAATTGACGACATATTTATATTTTCAAAATGCTAAAATTAACATTAAAAGAAAAAAGTACGAAAGTACAAACACCACTTGTTCTAAGACAGCGGTCACTCTAAAACTTTTATTTAAAATTCCTTAGTTGTTTAGGAATCCCAAATCCTTGTTTTTAGAACATTTTGTAATTCTAATTTTACAATAATTAAAAAAAGCACGAACACCATTATGTCTATAAATCAACTTATTAATATGTTCGTATCCGATGGCGTATACGTAAGCACTTATCAGGTTATTTAACGAGTCATTTGGCTAGGCGACACCATGTTACTTACGAAGTTGTGGATTCTTGTTTTTGTTATTTTATATATCAATAAAACTTGTGAAAAAAACAACAACAAAAAAACTGTTCAACGTTTCATAAACTAAACTATTCTGTATATGATTAAATCGTACCAAAATTGATAATTCCATTCGTCTTAACTTTTGTCATCAAAACATGAACGATTCACATTAAAATGAAACGAGTCGAGAAAAAAAAAATGTTCGTATCCGATGGCGTATACGTAAGCACTTATCAGGTTATATAACGAGTCATCTGGCTAGGCGACACCATGTTACTTACGAAGTTGTGGATTCTGAGCACGGCGAGGCCATGCTCCACATTGACTACGGGTTCAGCCGACGTTCTCGGTATAACGTTGTTGTTATATCCCTTCATAAGGTCGGTCACCAAGGCGCTCTCCAACAGGCAATGGAAACCTGTGAAGAGAAATGACAGTCGTGTCCATAGCCTTTTTATGATACGGGTCCACAAACATATCTGACATTTCTATAGAAAAACATGAATTTAAAGTGTGTATGCCTTTTGTTATTATATCATGCCAAACTAATGTGTTTGATATACACTTGCAATAGGGACAGGTTAAAACAGAAACCAGCAGTTCGGTTGTCAAACTAACCAGGTAGTGTGTTCAGTTCAAAAAAAATTTCAATAACCACTCATTAGAAGGCACATAAGAAACCCCCAAATCCTGCTGGAGGCTTCACATTAGACGTCTCTCTCTCACACACACACACACACACACACACACACACACATATATATATATATACGTGTGCGCTATATCGATACAGCAAACCTGCACAAGTTAGTATGATAGCAAAACTGTATTGTTATGACCACTTATTCACTTCCACCACTGTGACATTTGTGTTTAGAGAGTAATTAATTATAAAATAAAAAAGTGTAGTAACGATGATATGTTTAGCAGTACCTGAACATATATTAGTAATACCTGAACATATATTAGCAATACCTGAACATATATTAGTAATACCTGAACATATATTAGCAATACGTGAACATATGTATTAGTAATACCTGAAATATATTAGCAATACCTGAACATATGTATTAGTAATACCTGAACATATATTAGCAATACGTGAACATATATTAGCAATTCCTGAACATATATTAGTGATACCTAACAATATATTAGTAATACCTAACAATATATTAGCAATACGTGAACATATATTAGCAATACGTGATCATATGTATTAGTAATACCTGAAATATATTAGCAATACCTGAACATATATTAGCAATACCTGAACATATATTAGTAATACCTAGTATTTAATTAGTCATTTCTAGGGAAATAAATCCGCAAGTCAGAAGCCTACAACGCCAACCTGAACCCTACAACTTAAAAACATATTGTTAGCCATAAATTCTTAGTTACAATGCATAGTACGTATATCACTCTGACAAAGTATGAAAATGTCGGCCTAAAAGAAAGAATTCGAGTTGTAACTGTAATTGCCAACGAACCAGAGGCCAGACAGCGATGTTGTCCAGTTGAAAAGAACGGCAAGTTTGAAGGACTATAATACATCTCCAGTCGAACGAGACCAAACAATAATAACATTTCGACCAATCAGGCCAAGGTGGTCAAGATGACCAGCTGAAAAAAGGAAATCTACAATAGAGTTTGCAGTTTCATAATAAATCTACAAAACTAATAAACATGGAACAATATTCAAATTTAGTTTCGACCGATCAGAAGAAATGTCACGTATCGGCTATATTGACATTTTTGAGGACCATGTGGTAGATAAGCCTTTGGCTAAACATTTCATCCTTGCTAAATAAAGTTTTATTATTATTATATTGACCAATCGAAAGAAGAAGAAGAAATGAACTTCGGTTGAGGACCTTATGAACATTAACGTTTGAAATAAATTGCAGTTCAGTAGATCAATTTACAACTCCGCAGCTAATGTCCGCTCTAGTGACAAATTTAAGAATAAGAAACTTTGATTAAGATCTATATTAAGCAGAAAATAGTCAACACAAAACGCCCGTGCGTGGATGATAAAGCAGTATACAAAATATGGATAATACATCGATGTATGCTTTTAAAAAGGTCAAAACCTCCAGTAAGGTAGAAAACAAACGGACAACGGCAGCTTATCCAACTATACTAATAAAAACATTTGTCTTTTGAAAGCTATCACACGAACAGTTTTAAATATATTGCGTCAGACTTGGATGACGGACGCATGGATGCAGAAAGAAGTTTTGTTGCTATTATTTCTTCACGTGATAAAGATTTTATTTATACCACAAACCTTCATAAAATTAAACAGTCAATTCAACAATACTATTAAAGACTAAAGGAAATATAGTACTAGTATAATATTAGCTTTGCAGCATTAATCTATTACTGCTTTTGATGATTGTGGGTTTCATGGCTGCAAGGGAGCCACACCAATATGAAAAAATATATAGGGCTGACTCATGTGTAACTATTTCAAATGTAGATGTTAAACATGCGCAAAATATGAACACATATCTACATTTCCAATGCTATTCCCTATATAAACACTGCCAGAACAATTTGAATACATAGGGCTATGAACGCAATCGTATCGGTGTGAATAACGTTCTATCACTTTTAGGTAACACTATAGGCTGTATCCAAATATTTAACAAATTCGTCGATTTCTTCGTCGTTTCATAACATTTAAATGTACATATTTCGTAGCCGAAACGGCGGTGATTCTATCGTTGCCCATTCGTGTATGGTTTACACCTTAGTGTACATACATTTTGAATTCTATAATATATCAAGACATTTATATCAGAATGTGTAAAATAATGGTAACATTTCTATCAGATATGGCGGCAAATCAGGTGCTGCAGTGCATAGCGCACTTGCCTTTCACCAAGGCGGCCGGGGTTCGATTCCCCGATCGGACGTGAAAAGGTTGGTGTCATCTGCCCGACCACATGGGTTTTCTCCGGGTACTCCGGTTTCCTCTCACACTAAGATTCCCCCCGCACTAACATCCGGGCCAACAAGAGTGATTAATATAAGTTGAAATAAATTATTTCATAATTGTTGTAAATGAAATTAAAAAATTATTTAAACAAAAATTAAACCACTAAGTGTACGGATGACTCGGTTGTAATTTATAATTTAGTACAAAGAACATGCAAGGTTTAATTAGTTGCATCTCCTAATTACTTTGTTTGGGGGTTTCATTTCCTCACAATAGCTTTGGTCATGTATGAAGACGAGTGCAAAGGGAGACAACGCCAAAAGATAAGAGAGAAAGGAAGTGATAGGCCTATATATCCCAAGTGTTGCACTGGGGACAGCAGATCGATTTAGTTCATTTTTCAATGTCTCCCTGAAGAAGACACAGAGGAATGACCCCGATTCTGAAGGGGATGCCACATAAGTGACCTCTCACAACATGCAGTTTGATGTATACTGCAGGCCTATTCCATGGCAAGCCACATACATCAACATTTATTCAAGGAGCAAGGTCGATCCCGAATTTCATAAAACGTTCTTAAAATCATAAGATATCTTATATAGAAATTAAATGAGATGTTATAAAATACAATGTATAAAATAACCCATATACTATATAAGATATCTTATACAATGTGAAATCTCGTCACTAAATAAAATATCTTATATTGGACGAGATGTTAACAGAATGTCAAAAGCCAAGTAACCCCACCCGGAATCTCTCGAGGATCTAGTACTAGAAAAGACAGTAGGCTTGCTGTCAACACGTTATCCTGTCGCCCTAATGTTCGAGCCCACCTCAAGGATGCGTGAAATGGCAGCCTATGGCAAAAGCCAAGTTGTCATTTATTCATGGAGCAATGTTGATCCAGTACTTAACCAAATTATATAATATTATATGAGATATCTTGTAATTTATATAAGATATCTTATAAACATATAAGATATCTTATTTTAAGTTTATGAGATATCTAATATCTTTTATAAGATATCTTATATACTTTATAAGATATCTTGTAAAAGTTATATGAGATATCTTATAAAAGATATAAGATATCTTGTAAAAGATATAAGATATCTTATAAAAGATATAAGATATCTCATAAACCTTTCTTTATAAGATATCTTATATAATATATAAGATATCTTATATCTTTTATAAGATATCTTATATAATATATAAGATATCTAATATCTTTTATAAGATATCTCAATTAATTTTCTTTATAAATATCTTATATATTATATAGGATATCTTATATATTATATAAGATATCTCATAAAAGATATAAGATATCTTATAAAGAAAAGTTTATGAGATATCTTATAAAGAACGAGACTCTCGCGAGATCGACAAAGAAGAAATGTTTGAAAATGACTGCTCCCGTTGTGAGATAACGAGTCCGATAAACGGGAGCTGTGTAAAACTAGCTT